TTTGTGGGGGGGGGGGGGGGAGATAACTGACAAAAAAAAAACAATGTGGCTCTTCTATTCTAGCCCCTATCGCAGGACACTCGGACCAGGCGGCTTGACTCCACTTCACCACGGCCTAACGCCAAATAACCACATGCTTAATGGACTTGAACGATGTCGTCACTTGATCTTAGGCTTTTATAATTACGTTCTTCTGAATAACAAGCTGATTTCTTACAGTGTTCTTTCTTTATTATTTTGTTTCATTGGGGTGAGGAGGGTGATACGATACTTTCATTTTCCCACAGGCAGAACAAGAAGATACGCCTCAGAATACAGGAATTAATTTAATAAATACTTAACCTTCTTTGGTACATATATATCGGGGGGGGGGGGTAGGAATTAGGATGTGTACAATTTTACATGGATGACAGTATCTTCAAATCCAATGATATTACAGTTGTGAAAGTAGATGTTATATTGTCTTTTTTTTTTTTTTTTTTTTTTTTTTTTTTTACAAATAAACACATATTTACCAATTAAGAAAATCAGCGGCGTTAACAAAAGTTAGGTACATTTACATAACTATACCCATGAAGATCAAAACCCCATCATTTTACACAAGTGAAAATTTAATCTTGAAAATAGGGATGGGTTTAAGATTTTCTTTCAAAAATACATTTTTTTTTTAGTGTGCGAAAAGTAAAGTGGGTGTATATTGTATTATGAGATTTATAACATTTATATATATATATATATATATAATTTCAGAAATCTTTTGCGGGCCAGAATTTGAGTACCCTCGGTCTTCAATACTAGTTCTTACTAGGTCTTTTCTAAATTTCAAATTAGACCTGGTACTGAGAAAAATATTAAACGCAACCTATATTTTTGTACTTTTAAAACAAAATCATGTGAAATCGCTAACAGAACCGACAGCTTAGTTTTTCCCCCAGCAGGCCTACATTTAAATATTCATGATTCAAATATTTGCCAGTTTAAAAAAAAAAAATAATAAAAATAATAATACTACTAAAAGTAGCGACTTTCTCCTGCCTCTCCCGTTGTTCAACGTTGACGAAATCTTGTGCGTAAATGCAACAGATTGGGTTGCCAGGTTGGCTGATAAAATTATTGGGTGTTTAACGATCAGAAAATCCGATTTTAATATCGCGTATCTTGTTTATGAGGAAAGTGTTAAAGTTAAAGTGATCTCAAGGCTTAAAGATTTTTGGGGAAAAAAAAAAAAAAAAAAATTTCTGCGCTCTACTTGTGCGTCACGGACATAGTTTTTTTTTTTTTTTTTTTTTTAAATAAAAAATTGTTGTAAATGAAGTTATTTGTAGCTCTGATATACCGGTATATAAATTTAATACCAAGAAATTAATCTTCGTTACACTTCTAAACAACAATTTCCCCGGGGGTCTAGTCAGATCAGAAAATCCGATTTTAATATCGCGTATCTTGTTTATGAGGAAAGTGTTAAAGTTAAAGTGATCTCAAGGCTTAAAGATTTTTGGGGAAAAAAAAAAAAAAAAAAATTTCTGCGCTCTATTTGTGCGTCAAGGACATAGTTTTTTTTTTTTTTTTTTTTAAATAAAAAATTGTTGTAAATGAAGTTATTTGTAGCTCTGATATACCGGTATATAAATTTAATACCCAGAAATTAATCTTCGTTACACTTCTAAACAACAATTTCCCCGGGGGTCTAGTCAATGAAATCTCGGGATAACAAAATAAAATGTGTTCACCCCGGTAAGCGGGTTTGTGGGCGCGTGTGTGTGTGTGTGTGTGTGGTTGTGTGTGCGCGTGCGTGCGACAAACAATTGTAAGTTATAACGCGGTACTTTAAATGAAAAGTAACAGTGGGTGATTAAAAAAGGGGGTTGGGGTGTGGGATAAACAACTTGTTGCTCG